TAGGGAGTGAAACTTGAAATAACCCTCAATGAATTGTGAGCCAAGAGTGTGTGGTTCCCTCAGTACAGTAAGAAGCTGGCTCTGGATCCCCCTCTGCCCATCAGAGCCCCTGTGGCCAGACCTCTCTGTCTCCCCACTCCCATTTGGCCCCCAGGCAGTCAGCATTCCCAGGTTGCTTTGCCATTTCTCAGACGTTCTGGTCGGACCTCCCAGGCTCATTTCCTGATCTAAACCTAATCAACATTTCCATTAATTGATTCGCTGGCCCCCAGCAGGGTTTTGCCACGGTGACCTCCCAGCTGTCTCAAAACATGATGTGCAACCGTTTAGAAGCGCCTGCAGTGAAGCATTTGCTGTGTGTTTGCTTTGCAGCACCTTGGTGGCTGCAATCCAGTCTGCAGGGCTGACAGAGAACCTCAACAGGCCGGGGACCTTCACGGTGTTCGCTCCGACCAACGAGGCTTTCCGAGCGCTGCCCCAGGGCGAGCTCAACAAACTCATGGGTGAGCATTTCCAGGGGGTTCAGCTGAACTGCAAAAAGCTGGGGATGCGCAGAGTGACAGTGAGCTCCCAAATTTGAGATTTGTACTGCCTGTGTTCTTGGAAGATGTGTTTGTAGTTTGTGCCACAAGCTCACTCTGACTTTCATTTGGCTGTGCTGGTGGTGCAAGCAAGATAACCCCCAGGTGTTTCTAAAGGAACCAGCGAGGTCTCTGCCTTTCTCAAGGATGAGAGAAGTGAGGATTCCTTCCCAACCACACAGGAGAGGGGTGTCTGGAGTAAATTTAGCAAAGAGAAGACAATGATCCACACACAGCCTCAAGTTACACTGTGTGACATTTAAGTAGCAAAAGGCTGGGCCTGTTTCTCCTTCTATTTATGCACAGAAAAAGCAGGAGGTCTAGTTTGATACTGGGAAGACTTCAGATATTCCAGCCTAGCTCAGATTAAGGTCAGTCTCCTGGAAAGCACACACACTGGGTGTGGAAAATAGCATGGGAATGTTTAATAAGGCCCTCCTGGATAAGCAGCACGATCCTTTATTTTGTTCATGTTCAAAACTGGCTGTGGTTGGAAACAACGTCAGGTATTTGAGAGTAATGTCTTCTGGTCATTAAACCCAACCAAACATTGACATCATAATTTGGGAAGCTTCTGCCCATGGGAGCTGGTTATCCTTTTAAGTGCAGGGATGAGGAACCCGTAATATCAGACTGCACATCCAGTCTAGCACTTCGTACATAAATATTTCAGAACTGTTTTGCAGCTATTGTAAATGGCTGCAGGAATGAGGATTCCCAGATGTGGACACTTCAGATGTTCTTTTCTCATGCAAATATTTAGGTTACGCCTCTGACGAAGAGGTGAATCACGCTGGGGAGGACGTGCAGTGTCGACTGCGGCCACCCTGAAAACCATCCTGGAAAAAAGCTGAAATACAAGCTTTGGAAGCACTGAAAGAAAAGGGAGCTGAGGGAGCTGTTCTGGTTTTGTAGATGGAGCCACCTTTTGCACTAGCTGTCCTGTTAGGGACTCTGAATCCTCTAAAGGAGAAGCTGGAGAAGGGCTGCTGGCCCAGGCGATGTTCCTCTTCTGGAAAATAAATGGCGAAGAGGAAGCATCTTGTCTTCCTCAAATCTGCTTGGAAGCTTGACTAGATGAGTAGAGACTCAGTGGAGTGGAGATCAGGGCATCAATCCATGAGCCATCAGTGACGTTTCTCCTGCACTTTTCCCCTTCCTACCCAGCTGTGAGAATTATTGTCGAGTGACAGCAGCCTTGGTGACATTTGCAAATACCAGAGGGCTCCATCTGCTTCCTTATTTCACACGGGTGGGTCTTTGCCCTGCCATCCCAGACTTCCTGAGGAGCAGGTTCATGCTGTGCACAGTGAGAGAACGAGGGATGGAAACCCAAGAAACAGGGATTTCACGTGCAGGGCAGGTTTGGTAGGTTCCAAGGTGGGACACTGGGAGAGCATCCTTTTGGGCTTGCTGGGATCCTGACCTGCCCAGGCAGGAATGCCCTCAATGTGCTAAGCAGCTCTAACCTGGTTACTGTTCTGGTTTTGGGGTTTTTTTTTGGGGGGGGGGTGCGGTGTGATGTGGTTTGCTTGTTTATTTGATCAATTTTACATCTTTTCTTTGCACAGTTAGGGAATGATGGTGTTTTCCACATCATTCCATTCCAGCCCATAAAATATGGGAAGTGAGTGCTGATGCTCTTTTGCAAACACAGATGTTTTTCTCCCCCTCACCACCAGGTAATGCCAAGGAACTTGCCAACATCCTCAAGTTCCACGTGGCCGACGAGATCCTGGTGAGCGGCGCCGTCAGTGCCCTCGTGAGGCTCAAATCCATGCAGGGAGATAAACTGGAAGTCAGCATGGTGAGTGCCCCGGGATGGGGTTCTGTGCTCAGCAGGGCCAGGAGTGTGTCTGGATGGTGTGGGAGCCTCCCCCAAATGCGCTCACAGTCCCACCAAACAGAGTTTTCCAGGCTGTAGCAGAGGGACTGCTGCCATGTGTTCAATTCAACAAGAATGAAATGTGGTTTGCTTCAGCTTTCCCCACCCCCTCCCCCCAGAAGGCCAATTGTAAATGATTTCCAGGAGCTGTTGTAAATGTAACCCTGAGTCACGGGGGAAAAAGCATAAATAAATGAAATGAATAGCTTGTTCAGCTAACACATCTCTTTTTGTGCAACGAAAATGATCTCTGCATGGGCTCCCTGAACGCAGCGGGATTTATTTAGATATATAATTTCATTTCACAAACTCTGCACTGCATTAAGAGAACGCAGGGGGAAAAAAAACAACTTTTCAGGAAAAAAAAAAACATGCACAAGAAAATACTGGACAAAAAAATGGAAGGGAGAGTGTTTCCAAGTGCATTGAGCCAGCCAAAGTGAACGACAGAGTCTTTCCCTGTCCAGTCCTGCTCTGCCCTCTCCTGATCCCATCTCCCTTGGCACGAGTGGCAGTGCCTGCTGCCACCAGGTGTCTGGTGGATGTGCTCTGCTGCCACAGGACAGCATTCCCAGCCAGAGCACCGAGAAAGCCTTAAAGCCTTTGCCAGCCGTTCCAGGGCCAACAGCTCGGGCTGTAATTTGTTTTTATATCCTCCTTAATTGGCAAGAGGAACGAAAACGCCTTCAGCTATCCAGCAAATGAACGAATGCGAAGTGAGGGGCTTTTTTAACGACGTTTTGGAAATGACAAAAGTTTCTAATTTTCTTTTTTTTTTTTTTCCCCCTCTCCCTGAACAGAAGAACAACGTGATACACATCAACAAGGAGCCCGTTGCTGAGAGTGATATCATGGCCACGAACGGCGTGATTTATGCCGTGAACTCTGTCTTACAGCCACAGGGTAGGTCCACGGGGAGAAACCCCTGAGCCACCTCGTTACAGCAAAGCTGCTTTGGGAAGGGGTGGGGACACGTGGCAGTTGGTTTAGTTTGGTGAGGAGGATCAGGCTGCTGCGGGATTTCCATCAGCAGATAGAGGAAGGAAGCAGCCTGCCTGCTTTTGAGTATTTCAGTGCTCTCCGTGTCCCACCCTGCAGCTTCCAGGCCACAGGAAAGAGGGGATGAGCCTGCAGACCCTGCACTGGAAATCTTCAAACAGGCGTCTGCGCTATCCAAGGTAAAAAAAACCAAAAAAACATCACTGTGGAGCTGCTGAAATCACACTTGGGTAATAATGAGTGCAAGATAATGGCTCATTCACATGCTGACTTCCAAAATAAGGGAGTGTGTGTGTTTCAGGCAATGATCCATCCTCTCTCCTTGCATGATTTAATTATATGAGAAATAATACATTTTGCAACACGAGGCCTCAGTCTGCAGCAGGCAGCCTTGGCATGGTACTATACATGTCAGCTTCCAGTAATGAAGAGTCATTCATCCACAGATTTTAGAGAATATTGTCAATAAATACATTGACATAACAGTCAATTATGGTCATAATAGTCATAACAGTCAATAGTTATAATAATCAATATATTGACATAATAGTCAATATTTTAATATATTTAATATATTATATAAATAGAGAAACAATAAAATCTACCATATATTTCTATTATTATACTCCATTATTTATAGTATAAATGAACATGTAATATATTTTTATATGTTGAATATATTTCATATCATAGACTTAATGTATAATTATAGGTGTATGAATATTTGTGTATATATATACACATTATATATATACACATATTTATATATGTATACATGTATTTATATATGTATGTATATACATGTTATATATATGCGTATTTATATGTATACACATATTTTATATATATAAATATATTTTATATATATATATAATTGACTACAAATAGTCAAATATATTGACATGCTGACTGCTCTTATGGCTGTCAGAGATCTGTTGTGTTTATCATCTGATTTCTTCCACGCAGGTTTCTCAGAGGAATCCTCGGCTAGGTAAAAAACCATCCCCTCCAACTCTCTTCTAATTTCCGTTGCACGTGCCCGTCCCTCACAGGGGTTTATCCTGCTGCCTTGCCCCAAGGATGGCAGGGAGGGGAGGGGACAGGGACATGCTCTGTGTCTGTGCCACCCAACTTGCCCCTTCCCTTGGCAGCTCCCGTCTACTCCCGGCTACTGGCGAGGATGAAGGAGAACTCGGGGGGAGCCTGAGCCACGTCCTGAGCAACCACACACCAGCGCCTGCATCCCCCCCAGCTCTGGCTGACAGCTAAAGAGAAGGACAGAATCGTTTTCAAAAACCAAATATCACCCTTAAGTTTATTTTTTGTCTCCAGCGAAACGGATAGGGGAAAAAATGGAAAGCCATATATATATGTGTATATATTTTAAGACCCTTTTTTCTTTGGGTTTGACTTCAAAGTTCCCAGATTGAGGAAATGTTTTTTGGGTTTTTAATTTTTGGGGGATTTGTTGGGTGGGGTTTTTTTTTGGTTGGTTTGTTTTGTTTTAAATAAAAACTATTCGCTAGTTTGCAATTTTAAGCATATACCCAGTTTTGGGCTTGTTAAGCACATCCTTTTTTAAAAAAACAAGCACGTGCTTCCTTGTTCCCATGGGTTTTAAAAGTCTTCCATGAAATTCTGAACTGAAGGCTTTTAGCAAAAGCCTCTCTCTGGACAATGAGAAAATTGCATAGTTACAAGCTATGGTTTGAACCATTCTCTTTTTTTTTTTGTTACCTTTTTTTTTTTTTTTTTTTTTAAAACCTCTGGGTTACAACTGTGCTGCCTTTTGTTCACGAGATTGAAATGGGAGTTCTCCCTGGCTGAAGCCTTCCAGCAAATGGTTCATTTTTGATAACGGTTGTTTTTTAATAAAAATTAAAAATAAAATCAAAAACATAAATATGACAAGTGATGGCAACGCTTGGCTGGTTTGTTAGTTGGTTTGAGTTGCCTTTTGGCATCCTTTGCCCTCCTGGGCACGGGGAAGGAGGGGGGCAGATTTGGCTGTTGACAGGTTGAATAGTTACTGGGGTGGAAAGGCAAAGCATTTCTCCTCTTTGATCCTGGCCTGGCATCATTTTCTGATGGTGCTTTCGTGAGCAGTCACTGTCCCACAATTCCAGCAGCACAGGGCAGCCACTCTCCCACTGCACACCCCTCCTGCTGGATCCTCAGCCACTTTCCCTGGCAGCTGGAACTGAAATCTCCATTCCATGGTGCCAACAGCACTTATCCATCAAGGCTTTACACCCACTCCCACTTAGTTATTACCTTGGTGAAACCCAGGATTATGAGGCAAAAAAAAAAAAAAAAATACACCACAAGAAATGAATTATCAAGTGCAGAAAACAAAAAGAAAAAAACCAGATTGTTTTGGCTGCTCTGGCTGAGAAACACCCTGATAGTTGTCCTCCTGTGAAAAGCCCAAATTGAAATCCCACACGCTCCGAGCCATCTGCATAACTCCACAGTGTGTGAAAAATAACAAAGCTCTTCTTTTATTTCCCTTCTTCATCTTCCCATCTAATTTTCCTTTATTATTTCCCTGGCATGACGTGGTCCTGGCAATTTAAGGCTGGGGAGGTGATGGGGAACCCTTGGAGGCCCCTATTCCCAGCAGGAATGATGAATCCTATCAGGGGACTGCATTCTGGGGGAGGCTCAGCTTTTTACTATTAGGTAATTAATTACCCATCCTTCAAAAGCCTGAGGGAGAGGGAAAGCTGCTTCCCTTCTTGCTCTGTTACAGCCCATATAATTGCAAGGGGTTTTTTTGGCTTGCTTTGGGTTTTGTTTTTTTTTATTTTTCCTCCTTGAAGCTTCACAATTAAGGGATATAAAGTCCTTTGCAACTTGGGAAAGTGGATCTGCTCCTCATCTTGGTGAGTGCCCCTTGTTTGTACTTTCTTGGTGTCTGGCCCGGTGACTAATTAATTGTTTCATGGCAAAATGAAGCCACTGGAGCCGATGGGAGCAGGGGAAGCTTTGCTTAGATGAGTTTAATAACTACAAGAAGTCCCATCTGCTGAGTCATCAGTTTTCATCTGCTGGGAATACAGCCCTGGCTTCCTGGTGATGATCTCCTTTGTGCTTTGCTAGGCAGGGTCATCAGGTTTGCGAGTCCCTGGGGAGTTCATAGTAGACAGAGGTGTGTTATCCTCCCTTTTTGCTCCCTCCCATTGCTTTTTCTGGCTGGTTCTCTGGGAGTGCTCCTCCCCTTGCTCCTCCTGCTGCTGCTCCATCCTCTGAGCTGCTGTGGGGTGCCAGCAGCAGCTCCCCCCAGGGCTGGGGGTACTGCTGTCCCTGCTGTGCTGGCTCTGTAATTTCCCTGGGATCCCACATCCTGGGAAGCTCCATCCCACAGGCTCCCTGCTTGGAAACCCCCCAGGTTTGTGGTGTTTCCAGATGATAATCCGTGCTGGTGGAAACTCTTGAGATTACCAAATCCTCTCCTTTCCCTGCTCTGAGTTGGTTTCTCAGCCCTCTGTGCTCAGGGAGGGACACCCAGATGGATCAGATCAACGGCACTGGTTGATCAGCAGGGACTGCATCCCCCACTTTGACTCAGTGACACTCTGGGCGTGTTTTTCCCCATGGATGTTCATCCATGAACCTTCTCCTGCAAGGGGAGTGAGATGTTAATGCCTCAGCCTCCAAGTGGTGCACAGGGATGAAGCAAGAGGAGAGCAGCTTGGGAAGATGGGGAAACGAGGAGTCCTGAGACGATGGCAACAAAAACTTATTTGTCATTTTCTAAAGAAATATTTTTAATTTTTTTTTTTTTTTTTAATGTGGAAGTGAAAGGAAGAAGGAAGTTTCTGGTGCTGAGGCGAAACATAACTCCCCTGGGGAAGTGCTGGCTGAGGGGTACAGAGCTCCCATGGGCCCAGCTGGGTGTGGGAACCTGAGGGATATCCCAGCCAAGGGCTGTGGTGGGATGGAGGGCTGGGACCTCCCCTGTGTGCCAATCCCATCCCACCCCACGGCTGCAGGAGTCCAGACAGCAGCACTCAGGGAAGGGAAGAAGCACCTGAAACCCAGGGGGGGGTGAATGTCCTCATGAGCCTGAACCAGGACTGGGGCAAAAGGAGCTAAACTGAGAGCAGATAAGAGCCTTTTGGAGGAGAATCTTCCTTTTTCCCTCCTTTGGAGTCAAGAGTGTTTTTCTAATGAAAATTTGCAGGGATGTGCAGCTGCCCTTGTTTACTTCTTCAGAATGATGATTCTAAGCCCTCGCAGTGGCTCCGGTTCAGAAAAATAATTAAATGTATGCAGGAATCCATTTAGGAAAAATACAGCTTTTAAGTGTGTGCTCCAAGTCCTGAAATGATGCCATCATGTCTGGGCTGCTGCTTGTGAGTCTCCTCTGTGCCTGTGGAGCCCGAGTGCTCCCCGGGGCTGGAGCAGTGAACAGAAACTGGTGCCTTTGAAGGGCTGGAAAAATCAAATGCTGAATGTGAAACGCTGTGTTTTGGGAAGCTTCATGTGGTGGTTTTGCTTATTTACATCTTGAGGCATGAACCAGGGTAGAGCTTTTCTTCCAGAAAGTTCTTCTCCTTTCTGGTGGCCTTCTGCAGAGATATTTAAAGCAAGAGGAAAAGCAGGGCTGGGCTTTGTTCCCGGGGAGAAGGCGGTGGAAAACACGTGCTCTTCCAGTGCCGTGGGAATCTGGGAGCACTGTTTGCTTGGCTGGTGGGAGAGGTTTGGAGCTGACCTGCCCCAGGTGTGGGGGGGTCAGGTTGGGAGGTGGGTGATGGCAGCTCCCTGTGCCTCAGGGAGGTGAGGGGTGAAAAGGCAAAAGCCTTTGCCGGTGTCGGGGCTCGAGTGAAGCCAAGGCACCCCAGCCAGATGTGCTGCAGAGGGATGGCCCCTGGAAGGGGTCACCTGGACACGGGGGGGAAGCCACCCACGTGCCATGGCTGGAAAGCTGCTCTGACCCCCTGCTTTTGTGCTGCAGGAGAATTCTTGTTTGTCCACGTGATTTATTGGAAAGCTGTTGCACTGTTTGCTGGGCTCCCAGGAGGAGCAGAAAGAAAAACTGAGGGGAGTGTTAGTGCTGGTGAAAGGTAGGCTTGAAGGAGCAGTTGGGATCAGAGGCTTTCAGCTGTGGCTCAGGCAACTCTTGCATTATTATTTTTGTTTGGTTTGAGTCCTTTTCAGTGACACATTTGAGAGCTTTTGCAGAAATCCATAACTTCTCCAAAGAAAAGTATTTAAGAGGGACTTTCTTTCCAACCGTGAATGATTTGCAATGCTTTCATGATCTAACACTTTGCAAAAGCCCAGCACATTTCCCAGGAGGGGTCCTGGGTGCAGGAGCAGAGGGGTATCAGTGTCTGGTGAGCCAGGCAGCACCCTGTGCCACGTGAAGGCATCCTCCTGCTAGGGCAGAAAGACCCTCCTGAGGGTTTGTTTTCACCTCCTGGAAGGGAAGGTGGCAGGAAGGGTTGGTTTGCTGGGTGCTGCCATTCATGACATACTGAGAAATTCTTTTCAGAATGCCCAGGCACATCTGTCCTGCTCCACTTACCCTTGGATTTCCTGCAGGTTTCCTGGGAGCTTGGCTGTTTCTTCAGCTTTTGACTTGCCACTTGTCTCTTCTTTCTCTGCTCAGTCTTTCCAACAGGCCTTGGTCTGACTTCTGAGCTCACACCTTCATTTCTTGCACATGCAGCCTGTGCATCAAGCCCTATTAGCTGGCAAATGCAAAACTCATTATATTTTAATTGCTGCTTCTGGGAGAAGGATCAACACATCCTGTTTGGAAAATAATAGTGCAGAAGTTGGAAGCCTTCTCAGGGCTTTTGTTGAATTTCTAGTTTTGCAGAGGCAGGAGGGTGAATTCCTGGAATTCAGGATTTCCCCCAGTGCTGCTGGGTAGCTTTTCTAGCTCCCTGCCTTTGCTTCAAAGTTTGCAGTGGGGATAAGTGACCTTTCTCAGTGAC